GGGTGCCGGCCTTGCCGGCCTTCCGCCTCGGGTCGCAGCCCAGGCTGGAGGCTTCCCCGGCGTCACTCAGCCACGAGGCAGCGAGAGCGCTGGACCAGCGCGCTCTTTGGGGTCCCTCACCCCGGACGCGACGCGCCTAGGCGCTCCTCCCAGCGAGAGTCCGGTTCCCCCGTGGGTCTCGGCTAGGCCCGGGCTAGCAGTAAGCGACTCCAGGCCAGGCTGGCCTGCGGCTATTGCTCGCTTGTGGACGTCTGCCTGCCGCTGTCCGACCTGCGCCTGCTCCTGATCAGGCCCGACCCAACCCTGTTCGTCGAGACTCCCAAGACACTCGCACACACCATGGAGTTCCCCACTTGGCAAGAGAAGCAAGAAGAATACGCGCAAAAGAAGGCCCGGGCGAAGGCTTTGAAATTGCGGATCACGTGCACCATCTGCGGGGAGAAGGCCAAGCTCAATTGCCCCTGCGGGACGACGCAGTGCGCGCCCGGCGTGCGACGCGCGCGGACGGGTCGGGGGCGGCCCGACGTGCCCCGGCGCGCCGTAACGCGCGACCCGGCAGGTACTGCTCGACGAGCTGTCAACGCATCGACTGGCGCGATCGCAAGCATCGTAAGGCGTGCAAAAAGATCCGCGACGAGCGGGCGGCCGAGGCGGCGCGGGCGGAGGCGCCGACGCCCCCGCCGTCGCCGCCGGAGGAGGTGGTCTACGGTCCCGCGCCGCGGTCGCACGCCGACGAAGTCCGCGCCCGCATCGCCGCGGAACACGAGGCGGCGCGTTTGCGGCGCGAGGCGAACCCGGAGCCCGAGCCGACGTCGGCGCGGTTTGGGTCGCGGTGCCCGATCTGTCTCGAGGAGTGGGACGTGAATGCGACGAGCGTGATTCGCGTCTGTTGCTGCCGCAGCGTCTGCCAATCGTGCGAGGATAAGATCGAAAACGCGTGTCCCCTCTGTCGTCTACCGCGCCCAAAGACCGATGCGGAAGCACTCGCGCAACTTCGCCTCCATGTGGAGAACGAGGTGCCGGAAGCGATTGCGCGTTTGGGAGCCGCGTACCACCATGGTCAGTTCGGCCTCGTGAAATCCGATAAGAAAGCCGCGAAGATTCTCAAGCGCGCCGCGGAGCTCGGAGATGTGCACGCGACGTGGTGCATAGGGTTGATGTATTGTCACGGAGACTGCGGCGTCAAGTTGGACAAGAGGAAGGGGATGCATTTTTTGCGTATGTCCGCCGACAGGGGTTTCGCGAAGTGCCAACTTGATCTTGCGCTGCTGCTACCCAAAGGCGGAGAGGAGCAATTGCGGTACATGAAGCTTGCAGCTGAACAGGGATTAACCAAGGCCGAGTTCAGTTTGGGTTTTCTCAGCCTCGGAGACGACTGGAACGGACTCGAAGAAGGCAAGGTGTGGCTCAGACGCGCTGCCGCCAAGGGCCACGAGAAAGCGATCGGGGCGCTGAAGGTACTAGCCGAAAACCGCCCGGGCCTGGGTTTGAACGCACACTTGAAATAAAACCCTTAAACAGCGCTCGCAGGCGAGCCGGCGGCGGCGGCCTGGGCTAACTTTGTGGAATTTTTTATTGCCTCAGATTTGGTCGTGTGATGTCAACAGACCATCGAAGACGATCGAGACGATCGACGACCGGCCTCACATCCTAGATCTCGACGATGGGCCTGATACCTTCGCACGACGAGCACGCACCCTCGGGGCTCCTCGGTGAGGACCCGTACAAACGATTTGACGCCCCGGAGCCTCCCGCGAAGTCGGACCTCACGTGCGCCGTCTGCGGCGAACAGACGAAACTGAATTGTCCCTGCGGCACGGTCGCCTATTGTTCAAAAGCCTGTCAGAAGAGCGACTGGCGCGAGGGCCACAAGAAGGTCTGTAAGGCTCGGCGCGAGGGCCACAAGAAGGAGGCGGCCGACGCGGCCGCGTCGGCGCCCGCGTTCGGCCACTACATCCAGACGCCCGAGGATAAGTACGTCTTCGGCGTTCGTGAAGCGTTCCATTCCCCGCCCGATCCCCACCGTCGTTGTCATGGCGTTCGTGAAGCGTTCCATTCGCCCGATCCCCACCGAACAGGTACGATGACCTCGAGAAACACCGCTACGGCGATCAGTGCCCGATCTGCTTCGACAACTGGGTCGACATCGACCCCCCGCCGGGGGTCCCGCGGACCGTGCTGCAGAGCTGCTGCTGCCGCGCGACGTGTCACAGGTGCAGCCTGAAGATCCGGGGCAAGCCGTGCCCGCTCTGCCGGAAGCCCTGGCCGAAGACGCACGCGATGATGCTCGCGTACCTCCGGCAGAACGTCGACAACGGCGTGAGCGAGGCCATGAACCAGCTCGGCGACTTCTACCGCTTCGGCAGGGTCGTCGCCGCGCCAAACCCGAACAAGGCGGCGAAGCTCTACACGCGCGCCATCGAGCTCGGCAACCTCGACGCGATGAACAACCTGGGCTTCATGCACTCGCAGGGGTCCTCGGCGAGGCGGATAAGGACCTGGCCATGGAGCTCTGGCTCGCCGCCGCGGACCGCGGCCACGCGCGCGCGCAGGGCAACCTGGGCCGCGAGCTCCTCCGGCGCGCGACGTCGCGGCTCCACTACTGCGAGGCCGTCGCGTACCTGAAGCTCGCCGCGGCCCAGGGCTACGGCGAGTACGACCTCGCGCGGTGCTACGCGAACGGCCGCGGCGTGTCCGTCGACCTGCGGGAGGCGCGGAAGTGGTACGCGCGCGCCGCCGCCCACGGCGAGGAGGGCGCCGCGGCGGAGGTCGCGCGCATCGACGCGTACTACGGCGACAACCCCCGCTCCGAGGGCGAGTCGTCGGACGGCAGCGACGACGACGTCCGCGCGATCCTCGCGCGGCAGGCCCTCTCGTCGGACGGCAGCGACGACGACGACGCGCCGCCGTCGGCCTAAGCCTCCTCTACGCCTCCCCGGGGGCGTCGCTCGAGAGGAGGTCCGCGGGGACGACGGTGAGGTCGACGAGCGCGTCGTCCTTCGCGGCCTTCTGGACGAGGACGCCCGTCGCCGTGCGGCTCTGCGCGGTCACGGACGCCGCGTCCATGCGGACGATGACGCCGCTCTCCGTGACGACCATGACCTCGTCGTTTGGCGCGACGGGGCAGATGGACACGAGGTCGTCGCCCTTCTTCTTGAACTTGATCGCGGACACGCCCATGCCGCCGCGCTTCTGCGACCGCANGTCCGCGAGCGCGACGCGCTTCCCGTAGCCCTCGGCCGTGAGC